GGTGAGCTCAGGTGGTCTCAATAAAAGACTGATCAACCACCAAAAGGGTATTGAGGTGTCTTGTAAGTGTGAAGTTCCTGTTACAGAAAGTTGTGTGCTTAAAAAGCACCTTCACTCACCTTTGGAAGTTGATTCCCTTGTCCTCATCAAGACCCATAAAAACCTTCCTATCTCAAACAGTTTGACTCTGAATCAAACTTTATCACCCAGCATGTTTTTCTTCAAGGTATTCCTTGTTGCTGTCCTAACAGGCAAGTGACTCAACATTTGCCTCCCTGTTGTTCTGAAATGACACTGTGTTTATTGACAGAATCAACGGGAACAACCTGGACAGACAGGTGTGAGTTTTGAGTGTACTCAAAGAAACTCAGAAGTGATGAAAAGGGCAGATGAATCAATGCCTTACCTGGACAGACAGGAGTGAGTTTTGAGTGTACTCAAAGAGACTCAGAAGTGATGAAAAGGGTGGATGAATCAACTAAAGGGATCTCAGATCCCTGATCAGATCAATAACAACACAAGTTCAGTCAGATAGTCTTAAAGGAGAAAGAATGATCCGGAGAGATATGTGATGATGAGGTGTTGTAGTTGAGGAAGTTAATAATAGATGATTATTTCTTTTATCAAGCAAAACCAAATATAAAGCATGAAAGCGAAATTGACAACAAAGATTAACTCATACCTGATCAGATCAATAACAACACAAGTTCAGTCAGATAGTCTTAAAGGAGAAAGAATGATCTGGAGAGATATGTGATGATGAGGTGTTGTAGTTGAGGAAGTTAATAATAGATGAAGAAAAAGAAACTTCCTCAGATCAGGAATTGATAAGCTAGATCATGCGGTTCAATTAGTGGTTAGGTTAACTAGACAAAAGGTTGTGAGTAAAAACCATGAACAAACTACATTGTTTTGTAAGTCAATTATAAGCGCGCAAACAATAGAAAAGAAAGAGATAACAAGATAAATTTAAGTAACACATAATGTAGTAGTTTGGTTCCAACATCAACACCTTACCTGCAAGTAAGCAGGAGAAACAAGAAATGTGGTAGGGAGGCCTATAAGGACCAGTGAGTACCTGTCCAGGTGAAAAACATAGAAGACGTAAACGAGAAGAAAAAGAAGAACTCACTCTAAGCATCCAGGTTCCACATGGTGAAGGAAGAACCTGGAGCTCAAGGGGGAGTGTGTATATAAGAGAAAAACTTTGCACACACACAAGAATCTTGAAGTAAGGGGTCACAGCCACATCCAAATTGGGAAAGACTAATAACGTGAATGAATGAAAACTTCTTCTCCTCCTCGCTACACAAAACCAAAAAAGGAAATAACAACACAAACACTTCCACCATGCTCATTCCCAAAAGGGAACAAAACAAAACACTGCACTTCACAACCTGATCACTACTACGTCTACCCCATGAGCTCGTGATGGACTTGAAGCAGTTCGATTAATATCATAACATGTTCATCTCCACTCAAGCAAATCCATCATTTGATTTATATAGCCACCATTTCTGCTGTGTCTATCCCAGATGACCAAACATAAGCAAACCACATGCACTGTGAACATCATTCAACTTCCCCAAGTTGGAAGAGGAAAATGAGTAATAGTACAGTTTGTCATAAAAGGATCCAATACTGCACACCTGAGCCATAACACCCACACTACAGATGTGCAGCAAGCTAAGCAAATGGTTGTTTATCATGTACATACAGGTCTGCTCAGTTTTTTGCCCATCAGAAAAAATAAATCACATGTTATACCACATGTAACTTTTTTGACTCTGAAAAAAGTGTCCCAAAAATTCACTACATATAATTTTGTAGCTGCTCAGGCAATATTGTTGAAGCTATTTCTTAGTAACAGAAAGGGTGTTACATGCAGTTGACTTAATGAGATTACATCAAAATGTTGAGTCAGTGTATGTAGTCAATCTTTTGAATGCTTTTGTCAATCTGAAAAAAGTTACAGCATGTATTACATATGAATAACTTATCCTGATGAGCAGATAACTGAGCAGAACTGTATGTACATAATAACCACCTATTCACTGAGCCTGCTACACATATGTAGTGTGGGTGGTATGGCTCTGGTGTGAATTTATAGATCATTTTATGACAAATCATACTCCCAATCATTTTTTCCTGCCCACTTGGGGAAGTTGAATAATGTTTGCAGTGATGTCTCTTTGTTTCTTCTCAAAATCAATTTTAAATCCCGATGCTTCCTAGCGCTTGGAGTACTGAGATCATTTTATGATTTTGCTAGCAAAATTCCTCAACAACAATCTACAGATGTCAATTCTAATACCGTAGTCAAGAGAGACAGAATTTAAGTGCAAGAAACTTATGAGGATACCTTGAAGGACTTTCCCTTACCTGATTTTCACTTGAATTGGATCAACAATGCATTCCAAATTTCCAGGCCAGGCCAGACCCAAAATCATTGCTTCCCAGACATATGTTGAGCCCTCTCCTGTCAAAATCTTATGGGACAGGCTGTACATGGAATGCATAGGTTGTGTTGGAAATTCCTGAACTTATAAAACTAGGTCAAACTACATTTTTCACATTTTTGCAAGGTCATTCTATGTTGGATTATGGATTTTTAATGATGAGATTAGTTCCTTATACATGGTGAAATGAAAAATCAAACTCTCACTGGCAAGATGTTACAATTATTTATCATTTTTTCATTTTCATTCAGCTTGCTTAGATGTGATCTATTCTGAGATTTACAAGGATTCTGATACCCAACACCCACAGGGTGCAATATGGACCCTAAATTGTGTTAAAAGACAATCAAGACTGTCAACGGGTATTTAGCTAACATGTGAAATGCTGTGATCTCATCTGTGATTGCTCAATGTTGTTTCATGATATCTTTTCATTTTACTTTCCCAATTAATTTTGCCGCACATCAATCCCAATGTTTTGCTAAAAGTCTTGGTATATATATATGTGTATCTCTGTTTCATAGTTACTCTCTTTCCCCATCTGTTGGAAAGAGAGTATGTATTTCACTACCTTTTTGCTCCAGTAGTGATACCAATTTCTCAATACTGTTACATTCCTATATATCAACCTTTACATTGAAGCTTTACCTGTACTCACTTTATCATTCTCATCTCTTAACTTTTCCTCCCGAAAACTTAGGTACAGATACAGCTATTTTTCTATCTCGTTATCATTTCTCCTTAACTAGTGTGTTCATATGTCCTATTCTTTGTTGTTTGTGTTTTAGTTTAGTTTACCCAATTCTGCACACTTGTGGTTGTGGAGAAGGTGCTTACCTTGAGCATGTTATTATCAGGTTAGCATAATATATATTTATCTGGTGGAAAGAGAATTCCTATAGATCAAGCTTTACATTGAAGCTTTACCCGTACTTACTTTATCATTCTCATCTCTTAACTTTTCCTCCCAAAAACTTAAGTTAGTTTACTCAAGTCTGCACACTTGTGGTTGTGGAGAAGGTGCTTACCGTTAGCACATTATTATCAGGTGTTCCAAGCTATTTACAAACTGTCTTGGTTGTCTTTTTTGACAATGCACTCACCAAGATTTTGCACCTCCATCTATGCTGACATTTTTGATGAGCCCCATAAGCAGCAAACGAAGGACATTGAGACAAATATGAAACTTGTTCACATAACTTGAGAATTATGGTATACAAATATCGTTCTGGAGATTTCCAGAAGGTTTTTCCCAGAACGCCATAACCCTTCTGGTGTTCTGGCAAACTATATTTCTGTGAACAAGGTTCCACTTTGTGTCGCAGTCATGTACTCAGGATTCTGGTATTCTGGACTGCTGAGGCATTCAAACTTCCAGAACACCAGAATGCCAGATACCAATATTTTTTTTCTTTCTGACGTTCTGGGAAAAATCTTCTGGAAATTTCCAGAACGATATTTGTATACCATGAATGCAGATTAGTTGTTATTTTTGGGTTGCTAAGGTAGTAAAAGGTCTAAAAGGTGGCCACCAAAAGTGATTGGTTTATAGTATTAAAAAATTGACATATCAGGTGGATGTGTGATCATCACATATGTGCTTGATAAAAATCTGATACCTGTGTCAATATAGAGATTGATTTGTATGTAGGTCTGAATAAAAACAAGTTCACATGGATCAGAAACCAGTCAAGGGCAGTACAGCATTCTTGCTGGCGCCATGAGATTGATAATGATGAGAGATGATGACAGATCTCACCTAACTCCAAGGGACAGACAGGGCTTGAGATCAATTTAACTTCCCTGGGGAACTACGCCTTGATGAAAGTGAGGGCTAACACATGGAGATTGCCATTGTCTATTGACATGTGGTTTTGAGGTCAAAGAAAGTGGCATTGATATCGCGCGATAAATCTTTTGAAGGTTCTAAAAAAGTTGATCTCGAATTTGGATAACATTTTTTGATGTACAACTTGTTGATCACATGGCTGCATCAAGACCAACGGGATACACATATTTTCGCTTCTTTTTGTTGTTTTAATTTTACAGGTGGATGATGGATCGGCACACAAAATTCAGCCTTCGAAGGCAATCGCATCTCCAAGTGGCTTCTTGAGCACCTGTTTTTGCAGACCACAGGAAAGGATATGAGGTAAAAGAATAGAGATCTCATTTTTCCTTCTCGTATGTGTCGATTAATGACCTTACCATATGGTGGGCCATGAACCTAACTAAACAGGAAATGAGAGATTAGGAAGATAGAAGAAGTCTACATCGTTCCTACTGTACACTGGATGATAGGTTGCGAAGGGTTTTAAGCAACAGCTTCATGTGTCCAGGTCACACGTGATGGCGTATTCTGCCACTGGTAGATGGCCCACAGGGAGCAAGGGAGCCCAGTTTTCAGACATTTTTCTCTACACATTCCAGTCGCAGGATATATAACAACACTGATAGCGGGTTCCTGTTGAACACACACTTGGCATTCTCTCTTTCAAACATCACACACTCCTATCGGTATCCTTCATCATATCATACAACATGACACTCCTTTTGAGAACACTTGCCTTGGCGTTTAGCATGGGTTGTGAGTCCTGATTGACATCCTATCGCACTTGACTGTCGTAAACTGAAATACTGACCTTTTGTTTTCATAGCTTACGTCTTGGCCTCTGCCGGAGGAAGTGGCAGGTACCTTATCATAACACTTTTCTTTCTCAAGCTTTCCTTCGCTCTAATCAGTTCTTCTTCTCTACATTCCCCTTCTACACCGTACTGATAAAAGTATCTAAAAACTTTGTGACAGTGAATTTCTTGTTCAGATCGGCTCATCCCTAAGAGATACTCAAGTGGCTGTGGAAGGACACGAACATAAAATCCGTGCTCTTTGTTCAATGGATCAAATTCCTGAAGACAATTTTGAGTTTGCTGAAAAGATTAGCTCTGAATTGACTGGAATCTCAACCAATTTAACCAATTTAAAAAAAAAGTTTGATAATTTGACGGCTCCTAATGAAGCTCTTGTGACTCCTTTGGTGAGTCTTTTTATCTTTCTATCTGATGTGTTTCAAATAACATTTAATTGATGGGCAAAATATGAACCGTGAATTCGTGTAGAATTTGACCATCAATGCGACCACTGGGATCTTGAATTCTTTGATGAATTCATACAACCTTGTTACAGCGCTACTTGGTCCAGCGATGAGAGAGAAAAACGAAGGTGTGTGCTTATCATCTGCTTCAGCTTGAATTGAGATCACACCATTCTGACAAGTCAAAAAAAATCCAAAACATTTTCATTCACTTGATTAGTGGACTTACCCGCCATCTCATTAGCCATGACCAAAGTCTTGGTAGAATTATTTGCCAGATTCAAGTTAAACATTCGAAGTGAAATCCGTAAAGGAATCGATCTCAACGCATTTGAGAAAGCTAAATACGATTTCAACAATATCGCTTACCTTTTTATGGAATAAGTGTAATCGGATGTATATATAGACCATTCAAACTTTACTGATACATAGTACTATAGTCTCTCGAAAGTTTGCCACAAGGCTATGTCTATGGAAGGAAAGATTTACATTTCAAGTAAAAGTATTTGTTCAAAAGACTCAAGTGTTGTAAATTGCAAAAACCTTTTATGGGAGCCACACTGATAGATACTATTGCCATAGATGTGTGATAGATAGTCGTGTATCTCTTGATAGAAACAAGTTTAGCTGAAGTGAATAATCAAGTCATTGATCCCTTTGAAGTATTGAAACAAAAATTCACACACATTTCGTGCAGAGAGTTGAGTGCCTCAAGCGGAGCACATTGAAAATCATCAAACTGGATGTAGCACAAGAAAGGTCAAGGCTGTGAAAGTTCAATCCTTGAGCTATATAAAAACAAGAAGGTATATGTGTGAGTTGTTTTGGGTTGTAATTTCTAAATTGACTTCGTGTTGAGATCATGATTCTTGATTACAAGCTCAGATCTGGTACGATATCTTACTTTCCTGAATGTTGGATCAAGAAAAGACAAAGTGGTGAGTGTTATGATTTGCAAATGCAGTACATAAGTGTTGTGTTGGCTGAGTTTGTTACAAGTTTGCCGATAGCCCTTGTTTTGAGAACAGAAGTTGAACCAAGAATTACTTAGTAGTTTGGAAATCTTAACTCGCTTCAGCTTCTCATCTCAACATTGATACTTCTCAACATGAACTCAACCTCAACCTCACCTGAATTCGAAATGGAAATCGAACCAAGTGGCTTTTCAAAATCGAAATGTGGTTATTGTCATTCAACATCTCCAACTTCACATCAATTTGGATTTTGGGGACATGGACTATCACCTCAGGTCAGTTGTTCTCTGATCTCATAATGATTTCTATATCTAATCTAACTAACAAACTTATACTTTCATCCATCGATCAATCAATAGTATTATCAAAAACTTCTTAACGCAGGATGGAGAAGATCTGGTTCATATCTTTATTTACCTTATCATCCTTCCACTTGTTGTCCACCATACCCGATCAGATGTTCAGCAAAATCATTCAAACCTACCAAGAGTCAAAGGTCGGAATCTTGATGATCAATATCACCTTCATGTTCCTTACCATCCATGAGATGCTGACTTTGATCTCATTCAACCTATCTCTTGAAATTCAACAGGCAAACTCTCAAACGTTGGAAAAACTTCCTGATCGGTCCTACAAGTGTCGAACAAGCTGGATCATCATCATCATCATCAAACAAACCGTTCGATCTAATCGATCTTTTCAATCAAGCTGAGTCTAATCCAAAGAACCCAGACTCACACGATTTCAAAGTTGAGTGTTCAAATCATTCATATCCTAGTATCATAAATACTTATCTCCTATACCGACTCTTTTCACAGATCAAACTTGAGCCTGCCGCTTTTAGTGAAGAAAAGTATAATCTATATCAACGTTATCAAGTCGAAGTAAACAATCTCTTCTTTACTATCCCAAAGAAATGACTCCTAACCCAATCTACGTGATCTCTCATATCTATTAATCCAGATTCACCATGATCCACCTACCAAAACCACCCGATCAAGTTTCCACTCATTCCTATGCGAAAGCCCATTCTCTTTGATTCCCATTCCAAGCTCAAATAACCTTCCACCAGTACCAGGAGCTTATCATGCATCTTATTATCTAGATGAAAAATTAATTGGTCTTTCTGTTTTAGATATCCTTCCTGAAGGTATTAGTTCAGTTTATTTTATTTGGGAACCTACTCTATCATCTCTTTCTTTAGGTAAGGTTTCGGCTTTAAGAGAATTAGCTTGGATTCAATCTTGGTTTCAATCGAATGAAAAGTTACCTAAATTTGAATATTATTTTCTTGGTGAGTGATTTCTTGAGTTTGGTATCGAATCAACGTCTTCCTTTTGTCTCTTGGAATTGAGTTTTGGTTTTGTTGAATTGAATTTAAAGGGTTTTATATTCATTCTTGTACAAAAATGAAATATAAAGCAGAATATCAACCAAGTGAATTACTCAATCCTGTAAATCATTTTTCTATTCAATCTCTTCAAAATCATTTAATTAAACTCATCATCTTTTCTTTTTGGGTTCTTAGTTAACAAAACAATGGCATTTCTTTCATAGCTGTCTTCCAAAACCAGAGGAAACAGATCATCCAATCTTTGAAGACACAGATCCGACAATTCAACAAGAACGTCAATTTGATACTCAAGCAATGCTTTATTTTAATTCACCCAGTACAACTCCATATGTAAGTAAAATTCACCAAACTTATCAAACTTAACTCAACTGTCTCTAATGAGTTTCTCTTCATCCAAGCTTTTCTTAAAGATGGATATTGATACGTTGATAGAACTTACAAAGGTTGCATTAGGTGAAGAACTTTCAAAGGAAGTTGAGTGGATTACGCAATTTGATGTGATTCAGTGATGACCAAGATCATGGCTTTTTTTGTTTTCAAGTCATTGTATTTTTATTTTGAAATCTAAAACCTACATTATTATTATCAAGTTGACCTTGAACTAAATCTTCGTTCAACTCCTCTCATCCTGTTGTGAGATTATGGGGAGATTTTTGTACAGAGTCATTTTCTCTTTGCCTACCTGGTTCATAGACTTGATTACTAAAAGGACAGATGGTCCTGTTACTTTACCTGATACCAAGAAAGTAATTCAACTCATAACCCATATGCTGATTTTTAAATCAGATGTCTGACATGTCAGGTATAATTAACTGTTGTTCCCTATTTATTCTATTTAATTACAATTTTTCTTTACCGTCCATTCATTGGATCTTTTGCACCATTTTTTTATCTTATATTGTAACTCCACTCAATTCACTTGCGCGGTTATAAACCTTTTCTTGTTCTTCTCCAGGTTCTAACATATTACCAAGAGTAAGTAAGGTTTCAGAAAGCTAGAAAGAAGATTTGGGAAATCGAATAGATCAATTTTCAGTTAGATTAATTTCAACAAAGAAAAAATTAAGTTGGAAAGACTACTGAACTTGAACATTCAAATCTTTGATGATTTCTTGTTTTGTATCTTTTAGTGATGTATCATTTTCTAAGATTTCAATCGCTTTTACAAAAGAAACCTCAGCTAAAAAAACATATCTCGATCCGATCAATATCTTTCAAAACGTAAAAAAAGGATGTCAAGAAGAGAGATTAACAAACCTAAGTGAAGAACATGTAAAGTGTCTTTATAGATCGGATCATTAACATCAATCGCAAATCCTTCTTCTTCTTTTTCGTGTTCTTCTTCTTCATCTTCTTCAGGGAAATATTTATCTTCAATAGATTCAGCTAAACTTGATCCATGAAGCAAAGACGTTTGTGCTAAATGAAATACAATTGAATATTCCAAAACTTTAATCAAATTTAGATCATCAAAATGAGAAAGCTTGGAAAGTTTTTCTATAAAACTTTCAAGTAAGGTTTGAATTAAATTAAATAAGGTTTGAGAACCGATTTCAGTAAGGAATGAGTCATCCCAATTTGGTGAAATTGATTCGATGATTCGTAGTGAACTTGTAATTAACCAAATCGTTTCTGATTCAGAAAGATTTATTTTAGAGATTTCTGCTTGAAGTGTTTGACTCCAATTCTTTAATGTTTCAAGACTTGATTCGCTTTGGATTTCGTTTTCAGGTTTTAATAAGCTTTGGATTAATAAAACTGTAGGTTTAAGTAATTTAAAATCTTCATGAGTTTCGGTAACAGATTCTAAAGATTTTAATGAGATCCAAATCCATTTTTCTAATTGATTAGGTTCATCTACTCTAATTAATTTCTTAATAGGTTCTTGACCAATTGGATAAATCAAAAACCCTAAAGAAAATGAAGCCCAAGCCAAACAAGAAAAAACCAAATCTTTCGAAACCGTTTCTTCAGAAATACTTGTTGAATTGGTTGATGATCCTAAATTCATTCGACGTTCACATTCATGACAAATCCCTCTTAACAAATTACTCGATTCATTTCCAAATTCTAAGTTTTCATATAAATAAAATCGGATTAAGGTTTGTTTTGATTGAATAACAAGTTCGTATAAATCTTCAATCGTTAATCCATCTTCATCATTTCCTTCTTGGTTTGATTTAAATCCAATAGTCGTAAATTGTGTTTTATTTTCCACTGCTTCTGTTGTTGTAGTAGTTTGAGTTTCATCGGTGGTACTGGTGGTCGTGCTTGGTTTTGATTTTTTGGTTGATTTACTCGCTTTTAATCCAAGTGGTCGTTTAACCATTTTCGTTCTGTTTGTGATTTGAGATTGGTTAGTTGTTAGTCCAGTAATGGTTCGATGGCCTGGAGTGACTCTTGACAAATTCTTTTGGCTTTGCAAACATTTTCACATGCTGTAATGATCTGGTCTGACCCGGCCCTGGCCTTCGGGTCGCCCGGTGGAGTACGCCCCGATAATTTTGACAAAAGCCCTGGTCCGAGGCCTCACAGGGCAATCAAGCTTAGTGACCTCCAACAACTCCAGGCTAGTGACCTTAAAGAAGAACTTCAGGCTGGTGACCTTAAGAACAACCCCAAGTTGGTGACTTTAAGGACAACCAGATTGGTGAACTAACTCACTCTTTGATCTGTTACTATAAGGATTAAAGGAAGGTCTTGGATCCAACCTTCAACTTATAATAATAACCATTTATTATAAATTATAAACCTCCTCCTCAGGAGTCAACTAACTGAAGTCTGTCTGGGTTTATCCAAACAGACTGTCAGTCCTTTTTCTTCTTCTTCTTTCTTTTTAAGTGAAAACATACCATTTGCCCATTTAGTGAGCATTGAGCACTTCCAAAAGAGTACCCAACCCTCACAATCCTATCAGTATCTCTCACTCTGGATTCATTACCACAACATCATTCCTTGATCTGTTCCTATCCTTTTTTTTCTATCATTGTGAGTTGTGTGCCAGTTCTGAAATACTTGATGGATAATTTTGTTTTTCACACCAATGGAAAAATTTATCTTGTAAACGATAGAAAAGGAATGTATAAACAGAAGTCTTGAAGCAATTCTTTCCGGTTTATCCTAAAATGGTTAACTTCCTTTCATTTTCAATCACAACAGGGCTGAGGAATCCCTCCTTAGTCATCAATCAACCTACATTCACTGCCTCACATGGTGTAAGAAGCTTGATGTTTTGTTCACTTAACCCAAAGACTCAAGTCTTCATCAATTGAGTCAAGAACATAATTGCTGATGCTGATATAACCCAAGCATCAATTTGAAATTCAGCAAATGTTCAACTTTTGGCTTTGCTTGCTCTACCTTCTCTGATACAGATCAATTGATTATACCACATTATCTTGCTTGATTAAGTCAATTGTTTACTATTTTGCTTTGTTATCTTCTCACCTCCTCATGGGACAAGGATCATCATCAATTGATCTGAAATCTCACAAGGATATGACACTGATCAACACTCATTTGTTAGCACATCTTCAAATCTTGTGGCATGTTCCGGTGCTTGTCCTGGGTTACCAGAGTTGAAACCTTGCAGTGCTAAAGCATAAGAATTTTGCTCTCAAGTCAAACCAACATTGACTCCTGGAGTAGCAAATGGAAGTAGACCTACAACTGCTGTTCCGGTCTTGCCCCTATTCCTTCTACACTGGAATGAATTTGTACTACAACCACTCAAAGTGCTACTTCTATGTACACCTACTTCTCAACATTTTGCTTAAAAAATCTGGTCAAAGCAAGATTGTGATCTGTAAATATTTAACCAGAATTGAGTTTGGTCTTCTTATCATTCATTTCATTTGAAGATAGGTTTTTTAAAAAAACCACTCTCATATTCCTTTACTATTCAAAATTTCAAGAAATTCACATTTCTTTTTTATTTGAAACTTCTTTTGTTCTTTTGTCAAACTCTTGTATGACTCTTCATAATATCGTTTTTTCAATTTCTAATTTATTGAAGCGATCAATTCTCTGGCTTTATCATTGATTTGGCTTTTACTTGAAATCTGAATCAAGTTATAATTTCAAAATCGATCAATTCCGATTACAACCATCATCCTTATTTGATAAACTCCCTGCGCTTCGTCTGATGAATCGTACTCGTTCCTAGCATTTTATTCTAATCGGTCCTTGATCAAATTCATAAAGGTTGACCACGATTCCGCGCTCGAGTTGCGGAGGTAAATGTGCTCAAGCTTTCCCAAATTGACTGTAGTAAGTAGTGATTGTCGATCCATTTTGAAAGACCATTCAAAATGCTCCGAGTGCCGGAGCAGCGAGGACGCTTTGAGTGGTACCCAGTTTATGGTATTCAAGCCTGTTTACCCCGAGCAATAGGTCCAACGGTTTCCAGCTATTGCTTCTAGGGAATTGATGGAGGAACAAAATGGTCACAGGTCGGCTTGGGTATACAAATCACTTTTACATACAAGAGATGAGTGACTCTTTTCAAGAGACTCTGATTTCATGGGCCAGACTTGGTTAGGTGTCTCAAATTCCCGTCCTCACAAAGGTTTACTTTATCTCACAATTCTTCCATCGTATTTATCAACCAATAGATACATCCGTACCAAACTTGCGTACTCCATCCTCATTTGTATGTCAACATCTGATATATGTACCGCTCCACGCCCTTTAGTCAGCACTGAGACTTTGATTTGGACTATTGTTATTTTCAATTTCTATTGAAAATTTTCTCATCTTGGTTCTACTCTCTATGCTTTAAGTTGAGCTTCTCTCGGGTTTCCCTAAAGCTCCCGGCTTGAAATCGTTTGTTAGGCGGTGCTGATTGTGCTGATGAACTACTGATACTATGAAGTGCTTATGAGTCAACTTATCAACATGGCATGGCTGAATCCGAGGCCGCCAGCTCTCTTTGATTTTTGATTCCCTTCTACATACTTTCGATTTCTATATCAAATGTGGTTTATATCATCAATCAATCCGATGCTATCAAATGAGGCTATGATGAATTTGTGCCAGTATGACTCAACCAGATCCACTCAGTCCCGGCTCTCTTAACCTCGCGAGCTGTTCCCTGGAATCCAAGACCGGCATTGTGCCGACATCGACATTGTGCCGATGCTGTGCAAATCCATGACCATGTGTATTATTATTGATACACATCTCGGCACCTGGTCGTCATGATTGACTGTGATGACTGTTTGAGTTTTTTAAATGACGCGTCAGTTTGATTTCCTATATATGCGTATAAAGCTCTTTCTCTTAACCTTTATATAAACTTGTCTTTCCTCTTTCTCTTAACCTTCGAAACCAGTCTTCCATCTTTCTCTTAATCTTTCTTGTTGTATTCAAATTAAATTATCGAGCATTATAATTCATCTTTTCAATCAACTTTGATCATTAATCACTCTTTATATAATCTATTTCTTTCTCTCTTTCTTTCTTCATATATTCGATTCCAAGGACTGTACATATCCTCAACGATACAAAAAAAATCAACAAAATCACGACATAATTAAAGAAAAGCGACGATAACGAAACAAACCCAATAAAACTTTGAGCATGTGTGCATGAATTTATGTACACAAAGAATCTATTCATTTGACTTCAAATTTAAAGCTAAAGCTAAAGCTAAAACTTGTCGACCAACCTTTCAACTCCATTAAAAAATCTAATCTTTTTGAGTTACGATTACTTAAATTTAATATCTTATCTTTCGATTTCAACATGATAACTGCAAAATAACCTTGAAGACAATCTTACTTGAGCTGGTTTATGTGTATTGTCATCTTCAAAAAGCTTGTTCCAGTTTTCCCGCAAAAGTCGAGCAAGTTGGCTTGGAAGTCTCGGCAAGCTTTATCAAACCGACAGTACACATCCGAGTAACGAGTTCCACCAGTTATTCCCTAGAAAATCAACATCAGCTTCTTACATGACTTAATGCTCTTCTCACATGAAGTCATCTTTCTCATCGTCGATTATCCAATTAATGAAAGCCCTTTGATCGATTTTGTTTCTCAAACTATCGAACCGAAAAAGGAATTCAACAAGACACGAACCAATTATGCGCGATTTATACTTACTCTCATAATCACGGTCTCAAAAGATTAAAATTAAGATCCTTTCACATTATTTCATCAATAGCCATAAATAGAATGCCCAGAGAAAATTCGATTCCATTCCGGTGATCTTCGTTAGATCTTACTTTTGTGCTGGTCTGAGACTGTACCCTGAATCTATTAATGGCCATTCAAGAATCCATGTACATATCTAGCGGGATAAAACTCTTGTGTATCATTCTGGGGTGTTTGGGGGTGGTGTCAGTGATGACGTTGTTGTTCATGCAGCCCGCTGATGAAGGTTTAACTCTTACTTACACATGGACATGACCCGCCTGTCGAAGTGGAAATTCGAGTTTTCGATCCAAGGATGACGACAGATCAAATGATGGAGTCGGGTTGTCGTAAGCGACGTTGGAAGTTGTTCACTTTGAAATGATGGTTCAAATTGTTGTACAGACGGAGTCATGTGTCTACGCGACTGCGCCTCAGCAGAATACGTGCCGGTGTACTTTTAGTAGCTTTTTAGTCTCTTTGGCTTCGCCCTGGCTCGGCATGATTCATCATTCATCAGCTGTGGAACCGACGCCATGGAGCAAGAGCTACAACTCATAATCTTGATTCTTGCCTTTCGTCGACTGCTATTTAGCATGAATGCAAATGGGGTTGAAATTTCGGTTGGAGATAACAATTTTGAAAGAATTGAATGCAGCATATGATAAGGAAACTTGAACAAGCCCAGCCACTAGATAGTACAAACTTCCAAACCATAAATCACAAATTACAAATGGATGAAGTCAATTTCTCAGGCTTAAGGGGTACACTGCCACAAATGACTAGATATATAGTTAAATTCACCGAGGAAGTTTTTGAAGAAATCAACAAGCACATAGAATTATCTCGTACCAAGAATGAAGTCTTTGAGATACCAAGGATGGTTCTATCTACGTATATTGATGATTAAAAACTGATCAACAATTCATAGAAATTGAAATAAATTATGTAATTGATAGTGAATCTCCCATGGAACAAGGATTAGTTCTAGAAATGCATCTATACTTAGACATTTTCAATCAATTCGGTATTAACCTTTCAACCTAAATGACTGACGGTGAAAAGTAATCGAAACGGAAAAAGGAAGCTGACAGGAAAGTGCTTAAAATTCAACTGAATACCAAGTACTACACAAAGTTGAGCTCATAGAAAAATAAAATAAATCAACAAAACATTTTTTTAAAGTCAACTTCATCAACGTAATCATCACTCACTCGCACGCCCATCCTTTCATACGTTCATGCTTCTCTTTGTAGAATTTGCACTTCTTCAGATTCCCTTGAGCACTTCTTCAATTCCTCAGTCAAATTACCCTTTATCGATATATTTCCTAAGATTTTCAATTTAACTCTTTCTACATACATAGATCACAGTCCCAATTCTTGATCGTTGTAGTCAGAAAATAGCTTGCGGAATATTTACCGAACTGACTTGCATCTGATTGACTGTTAATCCCGAATCTCAAGGATTATACAAACATCTCTTCCTTCCCCCGCCAATTGCTTCTATTCCAATCTTTTCTATCGTATTCATATTTCATCAAATTGTTTGCTACAATCTTTTTCATACGTAAAACAAAAGAAGCCTAATTCCTAAAGATGTCAAATCACGCTTACGACAATGAAGATCAAAAACCACTGGAAATGACGATCAAGCCCACTTGGCCACCTGTCTTTCCACTTTGCGCAAATGATCGGCAAGCTTGGACATTACAAGCCAAAGCCGGTGGGTTAGGTACTGGTACAGCTAAAAGTGATCAGTTGAGTTTTCTTTATATCATGTTGAATGCTGTTTGCTCTTGAGATTTAACTAAAGCTTTCTTTCTTTCTTTGAAAAATATGTGAGTAGTATGACAGAGGATACTCAGGAATTAATGTATTTAAAAGGAGATCGGATTACAATCTTAATTCCAATGTTAAATGCCTGTTCCAATTCCAATTCCGATCCGAATCCAGAGAAATTCACCTTTTTAGGATTCTGTGAAGGTCAAATTGGTTTTGTTTCGATCCAAAACTTAAGATTCCAATCGCCTATCAGAAACAATCCGGCTTATTTACAAGAATTGTTCAATAATCTAGAACAACCAGCAATCAACCCAAATAAACCAATCAGTCAGTCTTCCATGTTCTTTTTGGTCATTGGACATAAGATAAGATCCTGATCCTGATCCTGATCCTTTTGAAATACCAGCTGAAAAATCATACAGCGATCATCTTAGAGAATTGGATTTCGAGTCGGTTGAAGGACAGAATCCAGGCACCAACAGTTCATTTAAAGATGTTTCTAAACGCAATTCTGTGCATATCAAATCATCGAATCCCAATCGAATGTCACGAAGACGACAATTATCTTCAGCCTCATCTTGTTCCACTGGTGTCACTGGCGTAACTGATTTAAGTAGTCAAGATTCTTCAATCTTACCACCACCATTACCACCACCACCATCTTTACCTTTACCCAAGAGAAAATCATCAATCTCGACAAGTCCACCATTCTTAAAACAAATTCCATCTGCATATCCGAATACCGAAACTAATAATAATTCCAGTAGAATGAGAAAGATATCTATGAATAGTACAGGTAAATCTGAAGATTTAAATCATTCATCACCACGTCACTCTATCATCAATCAATCTTCAAACCGTGAACTCTCGACCAAATCGTCATTCACTTTACCTAAACGTAACAAAGCTGAAAAAGCCAAACAAAAACGAAATCCATCTCGATCCAAATCCGTTCAAATCTCAGCTCCTACTTTAACTTGTCATACTAATCCAATGATAGAATCTAGTACTGGTATCGCCGCCACGCCTCATCGGGAATTGATCGCCAAACCTAGTCATTTATCTTTGTCAGCTAAAGATAATGGAATTCAAGATAACCTCACAGAAGAATTGACTCTCTTAGCTTCTAATTGTAATCAAAGCACTAGTCCCTTATCTACTGTAGTAACTACTTCGATCCCATTAAGACCTGATGATATTGTGACATCTAATCTAACATCACCTGCAAGATCTCATTCTTTCCAATCGTCGGCTTCATCGTCAGCTTCCACTCAAGCTAATTCTCCTTTTCCTCCTACACCTGTCACACCTCGTCCTTTAAGTGAACGGCAAAAGAAATCATCAAAAGAACCTAGAGTTTTAGATTATGGACCAGAAGAGATCATCACCATCAAAGGCGGATCAGCATTCGAATTAGTTAAACCTCATACAATCAATAGGAGGAAATCGAAAACTAATCTGTTGGATCAAGATGAGATGATCTTAGCTAAATTTGAAGTAGAAGTAGAAAAATTCGCGGATGAATTTGAACAAGATATGGAAAGAGCAGTGGAAGTTTCATATCCATCTATGAATCAGAAAGATGTCACGATTTTGAATCATGAAGATAATCATGATCTTGATCCACATCCAGATGAATCGATTCTAGAAGATGGAGAAAGTTATCGAATCAAAGAACAAAAATGGGTACAAGTTTTAAATTCGACTTCTAATAAAAAAGATAATAAGAAGATCAAAAAATTAATTAAGAATGGTTTACCTAAATCTTTAAGAGGTAGGATTTGGGGTTATTTATTAAATTTGAATTCACAATTAAAAGTTCAAGGTTTATTTGAAAAGGTGACAGGTTTGATTGATGATGAACTTGATGATGAAGTCTTAATTGATTCTGATCTAGAAAAGATTTGTCGTCAATTCGATTTTCATCATTTTTCTCAACAGTACGTGTTTTTTTGCTTTTCTCGTTCTTATTTCACAAACAACCATGACTGATTAAATTCATCAATTCATTTGATTCTTTTTAGTGATTCAACTGGAATTTCAGATTTAAAAACATTAATTAAAACCACTAGAACCTATTCAAAACTATATTTACCATTTGATGGCTCTTTAGATTTTGATTTATCTTTAGTTGGTGGTTTATTATTGATTCAATCTCCATTAGAAGAAGCCTTTTGGAATTTATTAGGAATTGCTACGATTGGATTTCCTAACCTTTGGAATCAAAGTGGATTTTTACTTGTATGTGATCGATTCACTAAGATTTTAGAAGAGATTGATGTGGTGTTATTTAATCATTTGGTAAGCTTCTTTCTGATTTCTTTTCGTTTTGCTCATTGACTGTATTCTGATAGCTTTTTGTTTGGCTTGGTTGTTTTCTTTAGGCTTTCTTTCACATTCATTCATCTCTTTATTTACATTCTCACTTTTTGAAACTGTTTATCAAAACTTTACCTCCTTCAATCCTTTTACCAACACTCGTAAGTTTCTCTTATCACAAAGCTTCGGTCGAGATTGTTGATTGAATCTTAATTTTGGTTTTGATTTCTTGAAAATTATGTAGGATGTTTTGATAAGTGAAGGTGAAGAAATGATGTTCAAGATTATGATGGTGATCATGTTGGAATCGAAAGATAAAATATTAAATTTAAGTAATAAAAAAGATCTTATCTTTTATTTAATGAATTTAAAGGGAAATCGACAAGTTTTAGATTCAGCTTTAAATCTTAGATTCAAAGCAAGATGGTTTTAAACTTTATTTTCTTCAAATCCTTTTACCTTCTTATTCAAGAAACAAATCAATTTGAATTCTTGCTTGATTTTTTTTATCTTTATTCATTGTAATTACTTGGAATTTTGTTTATTCATCACTTGATGAGTTATCTTTCTTTCTTTCTTTATTTCCAACCTCGTTTATTGTTTCACTGTTCTTGTTAACAATCGGTTTTCTTATTTTTTTGGGTATGTATTTCCTTTTTTTAAGCACGTTGAAAGCAAGATTCAAAGTATGTTATCACTTTTTCGTTTCGTTTAATTAAATCTATTAATCAGTATTGTTTTCTTCTCGTTTTTTTTCTGATTTGGATTCCTTTCTTTGATTTACATACATACATATTACCATTAAGCATTGTCTTTTTTTTCTTGTGCTTGAAGCTTTGAAACATTACCATCGTTTTTTTCTTTTTTTTCTTCTTTCTTATACTTCTTTTTTCTTTCTGTCATTACTTTTTCTTGATGTTTTGCTTGTATTTTGAAATTACTAGAGAAAATGCGGGCATGACCGCCATAGCTTGCTCAAACCCAATGATCAACTCAACTCTTTGTGAAAAGTTTTGTATGTGTAAGAATTTGTTACTTCTTTCACACAAGTATCTCGATATCCTCAACAAATGCAACTTGACACTTACCGTACTTTTGTGTAATTTTTTTTGTATATAGTTTTTTTGTTTTTCTTTACAACTACAGCCATTCCGATATTGCTTGTCGCACCTTTTTGAAAAGAAAAAGTTTGTGAGCTCGAAACCTAAGTTTTAACCGGTTAAAACCTGAAGTTTGGCTGTATTGCCTTGAATTACAGCTGAGTTTGAAGTTTTATCGAGTAAAAACTTAGGTTTCAACTTTTCTTTTTCAAAACGGAGCGACAAGCAATATCGGAATGGCTGTATACACAGAAGCTATAAAGTATTTTGTTGGGTAATTTACCCTTTTGCCAACACCGGGATCAGATACCGATAGCGCATGACGAGCAAAGTATGTATGCAACAGGTCCTCGAAGCTAGGTATTTTGGGGCCCGAATATACATTTTTTCACCGTCAAAAAACAAACAAGAAAGTATACAAGAAAACTATAAACATGTAACTATGTATACGACTTTAGTTTTTTTCGTTTTTTTAAAAAAATAAGCGGGACTTGGCCAGCTGGTTGCCAAACGGCATAAATCTATGTCGTAGCAGACCGGTCGTTTCGATAAATTCGGTAACAAAGAAGTGGTTTTCATTAACATTTCTTTAACCTTGGCCTTTAAACTGCAGATTTCCTTAAGTTTGAACAAGGCCGTGAAGATAATTAGCGTGGTCAGAGGTGACGATCAAAGAACTTAAGGAAGACCTAACTTAACCCAAGTCCAATCGTGCAAAAGCTCACGGTAACCCGAAGCCGAGGCACGAGGGACTTGCACATTAAACGACATCTCTGGCGTGACCAATAGCCCCCAAAAGTGAAATTTGGGTCACTTTTGGATGCAACCCATCCTATCTCATTCAACATTACTTTGATGTTGTTTCTGAAACTGGCTGGTATGAGTTCAGCATCTTGTACATAACTTCTATTAGAAAAAAAAGAGAATCAAAAGTGCCAGCTCACAAGAATTGAGCTGGAAAACGAGTAATAAGTTTGTTTAAGGGAGTCAATTGACCATCTCTCGAGCCTTTTTAAGGGTACACATAACAATCTTAGCGGTTGAAATTTCAAATCTCAAAATAAGCAGCCTCAATGAATCAACACGATCATGAGATCTGTCGAGATTCTGAAGAGGCCATTTCCTTCATAACTCGACAGAGCTCATCTGACTGTTTTTTTGAAGAAAATGCATTTGTGGGTCGTGGTGTAAAAGCGAAGTGAAAAAACACCCACCAAAAGGTGGCTATTAGTCACGCAACGATTGTCGTTTAATGTGCAAGCCCCCTGTGCCAGGGGCGGACGAGTCCGAGAAAAATCACCTGGCACAGTGGGCTTGTTGTTAAGCTAGAAGGAAGACTACGTATGACGAGCGTTACGAGTGCACAGAAAGCCACGGCCGCGCCTGCGCTCATTTGGCCTTTCCTTCGAGGTTTCAAGGACATGATTAGTAGCAGGATTTATCCTATAAAACCTCTTTCATTCGACCACAAAAGCTTCTCTTCATCCTATCTTATCCAAACTCATTCCAACTTCAATTTATATCATAGTTGTATATATATACATATCAATTTTTGATTCGAGATCACTATATTGTATAAAATTATCTCCCATAAATCAACAATTCTTCTGTAACTTTTTTCATCCTCGATTTCAGATCCAAAAGCACTTTTACCCGCCCAAAATGATGTCTTATATCACACCTCGTTTCATTACACTTGCTTTAATCATCACCATGTTATTTGCAGGGTATAATGGAGTCCCGTGTTCCAACAATTTGGAAACGGAGGGAGTAAGGCAATCCATTGAGGAAGGATCACCTTCAAGAAACGCTCCATCTTTTACTCCTGTAAGTTTTGTTTTGGTGTCTTCCAGAACTAACATTCAGTGATATTTTCTTTCTTACGAATTATTCTATCATTTTGTCACAAATCATTTTAAGCTTCGAGAGGCCAAGCCAGTCCGAATGGAACGTCAAATGTTGCAAGGACCGCCCGGTGGTGGAATGAAGAAAGGACTAGGTGGTGGATCTTGAAAAGCTCGTCAAATGGATTTCATTTTCAATCAAGTTCATCAGGATGGAATGATTGTCTTTTGTTTTGTGAAATTCTCTTTTTTTTTTAAATTTGTTAAATAGAAAATTCAATGTACAAAGTCTGAATAGAGTAAAGATAAGAAAAGAATCCTCATTAGTTTAGTAACCCATCCTTATTGAAAGCCCCCCAAAGAACAAACTTGACTCTCTTGTTGAGCTGTATCAAACTGGAAGAGCTTGTAGTGTTTCTCCGAAGACATTGATACAAACAATTGATATCTTCAATAAATCATGACTATTCTTTCTTGCTGCCTATAGTGAGAGGTGCTGAAAATAAGGCAATTTACAGGGGGTTTTGCCCCGAAGATTGAAATTTCACTACACGGTCAAATTCCACTAAAAAGGTCATTTTATCCAAACAGGTGAAAGAGTATGTGAATGACATCATGAACAGATAAAACTTGATAGACTTTCATCTGACAGCCATGGATTTTCTCTCAGAGACTCCAAATGTTGAATTTTGTGGGAGGAGATAGATTTTTTGAAAATTGTTACAAAAATTCATGTACAGAAAGTCCTTGACCGACCAATTCCACAATGAAGTCAAGTGCTACCCATTTGGATCAAGTTCAAGACCTTACATCAATCATGGAAAATATCACTGGCTCATAGAGTAAATCATGGGACTTTGGCTGATCACTTATGTCAGAGGATGGTCTTCACACAACAAGCTAGTCAGATTTGAGAGACACTTGTGAGTCATGATATAGCACATGTTATGAGCCATCTACAAGACTACTTGTATTTTGGTTGTACTGTACTTCTTGCATACTTAGATGCTGGCTCAAGAATGGCCTGTGAATTCTCATGTCACAATCCAAATACCTCAACAAGGAAACTTCTCAGATACCTTGCATCCCAGCACATCTTGCCAAGTCCTTGCAGAACCTGAGCCATCTATCTTTGTTCTTGTCAAAAAGTGGTAGCTCTGGGTCATGCATAAAGCCTTGGGCAGGGCCTCAAACCCAACCTTTTACAAAGCTTGAGAAATAGCAGGACACCCTGCCCTGCCCCATTTTATACAAACTTTGCATGATTAGGTAGGCTTTGCATTTTTTCATATGTGAGATCACAAAACACAAGCTCATGGTACAAATCAGTTCTTGGTAGACAAAGAATGTCAAACTTACCAAATCAGGCTTGAAATTTATTTTTGAAACAGTGTATATATGGAGGGGATTTCCTGTAATTAAGCTTTATATAGGGTTTTGTTCTGTGGCCTGCCCAAGAATTCATGAAAAGACTTGGGGATAGTCCTGTTGTGATGCTATCAAGCATACACATCATGGCTTATTTCAAAGAGCAATAACAGAAATAAAACTCAAATTGTGCTATTGAAATTTGACCCCCTTATAATCAGTGTAAAGATTTTACAATTCACTAGAGAAAGATAGTTCAACCATGAAAGTGACATAATTTTCAGATCAGCATGATACATAGTTGATCCCGGAACCACTGGTAGTATAGTGCAAGAGAAGTATAAGTTTCCAGAAAACTTTCAAGGCCAATACAATAGTCTCAATAGCTATTTTGGGGCTTAATAATGTTTTGTATCAATTTTCTCAAAAACTGTGTCTGCACTTTTGTTGTGCTGCCTTCTGGATGATTTGATTCCACAAGTATATCAAAAATGTCTACTGGTGGATCAGGTTGTGGGCGCGCCAAGGCATGTTTTTTCTTTTCCTTGCACCTAGGTGCCATGGGGTTTGTTTTGAAAGATTGCTTGACATCTTGAAAATCTGTTAGTTAATCAATACATAAGAATTCAAGATTTTGCAGAGACACTAAGCTCTATGTGACAAGACACAACCTTTATAAATGTGAAAGAAAAACTATCAGCCTTGTGATGACAAGGCAATGGCTGACAACAAAAACAAACAAGTTCTAAACTCAAGGTAGACAAACCTAGAGATGGAACAAGTCTGATAGACAATGTAGAGCAACTAAGAGTAGAGAGATGTTGAGTGAGAAGCTAAAAAGAAAGAAAAATGTATACAACAATGGTTAATGACGGACTTCATTAATGTTATCACAATAAGGAAATAAGAACAACAATTGATTTTTTAATGTTACCTTTAAATAAATTTCTTCAATGGGTGAAAAGATTCAAAAGGAGACAGTGGAGGGTTAATAAGAAAAACACCACAAACAAAAATTCTTCACAAACATGACATGAAACACAAACACTACATACTTAATCCCAATCTGGACACAGTCTTCTAACTTCATCCTTGTTACTAATCCACACACACTACTGTTCATTTAATCAGGATTGATTCATCCAGAGCAAGTCCCTTGATGGTTTTGACAATGTTACCCAAGAAAGAAATTCTCCAACAAACAAGACATTTATGTATTTAGTTGGTACATTCAAAATGAAAGACTGAGTTCTTTGGCAAACAAGATATTGATTGGTGTGTTTCTACAGGAGAATCTTCAATATCAGATTCTCCCAGTGCATAAGGTCACAGTCAAACTCTAGGGTGCTCTACCTGACTGTCTTCAACAAGTAGAATTTGGTCTCAGTGATGGATTCCTGAGGGTTGGGGTGATATCTCAAAAGGCACACCAACCCCCTTTTTGGAATTTGCTTTGTGCCTTGGTGCGCCCAAGGCATGTCTTTTGTGCCACACCCACAAACTGAGGTGGTCAGATTGATCTGCATTAGGAAATTGAAAATCCTATAGTGCAACTTTGACATCTGGGCAGAGCTCATGTGGACAAAATTGCAAACTGTTGGCAACAAATAGTAGCCATTTAGATGATATTCTTGAAGCCCTAGAAAATAAGGAGCAAAAGGGAACTGAATTGCACAATGGCATATGTTGAAAGTTGCTTGATAAACAAGTGTCAGATTTCTACTGAACAACTTTTAAGGAGAACACTTCAAGTATGTTGTAAGGGTCAAGGAATCAGGTCAAGGATTACATTTTCTCTGAGGGGGAAATATGTTATTATGGTAACTTATAACCTGGATGACAATACATAGTTTTTACAGCAAATAAAATCTAGATCCTATTTGGTTTCTTTCGCACCTCTAGCTCTGTTTCTTCCCTGGCCTTCCTTTTGTTGTAACACTTTGCACCAATCTTTCTAGATGACTTATATTTTGAATAACCAATCATGAATTTCTCATGGTATTCATGATTTATGTGTAAGCCTTTCATCTGTAAAAACAAACCAATAGATGTTGAAAGGTTTGAAATATTCGATTGAACAACCAGGGATCTGAGACTTGCACATTGATCCTTTAAGAAATATGTAAGTTCGTGGGCAAATTGATAGAAGTCTTTGCTTGTGATTGCTAATTGATATGATTTGAAATTTGTCATATATGGACTCCAATTTTTCCAAAGATCATTAAACTCTGAAGCAACCTGATTGATTTGATGTTCATTTCCTAAGCCAATCACCTTTTTTTGAACATCTTTTCCCAGAGGATATGTTGAGAAACTTGCCAAAATCTTCCCTGATATGTCAATCCATTCTTCCCATGGATTAGATCCATTGAAGAGCTGAGATTTGGTACCACCATGGATCAATTTCAATTGGTCTTCTGAAAATTGGGAAACTATCTTTTGAGCAATTGAATAACGTTCCTGCCAATTCCGGCTGCAGAACCTCTTGTGATAGAAACAATCATCATGAACTTCTAGAAATACTACTGCTAAAGAATCCATATGACATCCCTCCTCCTTCTTGCCAAACCCACTAGGGTCCTTTTGTTGTGTTGCCAAACCTTTGAATGATGGGTGTAGAATATAATACAGGGTCTCTGTGTACCACCTTAGGAATTCTGCCAGCAAATCATAATCTATAGCCTGCCCTGTCAAGATATACTTCTCATGGTAAGCATAAAACACCAAAGATGTGATCATGATGCAACGTTTCCAAACCTCTGATGTTGGTTTTTGAAATTGAGTAAAGTACATAAAGGGTAGAATCTTCTCTAGGGTCCAAAAATTTCTAGCTTGATTGGTTTCCTCAGGATTGGAGAAAATCTCAAATCTTTTGATTATTTGAGATATCATTTTCATTGAGGATGCTACTGATTCTTTTTCAGACGGAGTTACAAAATTGACAACTTCTATATAGCTTGGGCCAAGAATTTCCTCCATCTGTATCTTGCTGTTTGCTGAACAAACTGATGTTGTAGAGTGATATGGAGGACTCCTTTCTGATTCAATGTTCAATCCTGAAACAGTGAGTGGGGGAGCATTTTCTTCATTCACTGCCTGTCCACTAACACTAAACAAGTGGGTAGGTTGCTTTTTTGTTTCCGCATTAACATCTGTGATAGACTCCAAGACTGTGGGTGAGGCCTCTGGAGCCCCTGTCAAAGCTTTGCTTGCTTCCCTGGCCTTCCTTTTGTTGTAACACTTTGCATCACTCTTTCTAGATGACTTATATCTTGAATACCCAATCTTGAATTTCTTTTGGTATTCATGACTTATGTGCAAGCCTTTTATCTGTAAAAACAAACTAATAGATGTTGAGAAGTTTGAAATCTTTGATTGAACAACCTGGGATTTGAGACTTGCACATTGATCCTTTAAGAAATATGTAATTTCATGGGCAAGTTGATAAGAGTCTTTGCTGGCGATTGCTAATTGATATGATTTGAAATTTGTCAAAAACGGACTCCAATTTTTCCAAAGGTCATTAAATTCTGAAGAAACTGGATTGACCTGATGTTCATTTCCTAAGCCAATCACCTTTTTTTTAACATCTGTTCCCCAAGGATATGTTGAGAAACTTGCCAAAATCTTGCCTGATGTGTCAATCCATTCTTCCCATGGATTAGATCCATTGAAGAGTTGAGATTCAGTACCATCATGGATCCATCTCAATTTGTCTTCTGAAAATTGGGAAACTATCTTTTGAGCAATTGGATAACGTTGGTGCCAAGTTGATCTACTGAACATCCTCTGATAGAAACAGTCATCATGAACTTCTAGAAATAATACTGCTATGGAATCCATATGATATCCCGGCTCCTTCTTACCAACCTGACTAGGAGCCTTTTGTTGTGTTGTCAAACCTTTGAGTGATGGGTGTAGAATGTAATATAGGGTCTCTGTGTACCACCTCAGAAATTCTGCCAACAAATTGTAATCTATGTCATGTCCTGTTGAGATATGCTTCTCATAGTAAGCATAAAATACCAAAGATGTGATCATGATGCAACGTTTCCAAACCTCTGATGTTGGTTTTTGAAATTGAGTAAAGTACATAAAGGGTAGAATCTTCTCTAGGGTCCAAAAATTTCTAGCTTGATTGGTTTGCTCAGGATTGGAGAATATCTCAAATCTTTTGATTATTTGAAATATCAGTTTCCTTGAGGATACTACTGAATCTCTCTCAGAAGGAGTTACAAAATTGACAACTTCAATATAGCTTGGGCCAAGACTTTCCTTCATTTGCATCTTGCTGTTTGCTGAACAAGCTGATGTTGTAGGGTGATATGGAGGACTCCTTTCTGATTCAATGCTCAATTCTAAAACATTCAGTGGGGGTGATTTTTCTTCATTAACTCCCTCTTCACTAACACTAAACAATTGGGCAGGTTGCTTTTTTGTTTCCCCATTAACATCTGTGATAGACTCCAAGACTGATGGTGAGAGCTCTGGAGCCCTATCTGTCCATGCTGTGCTTGTTGGAACCTCTGGAAATAGGCTAAGTGTATTTCTTGGGATATTCATGCATGAGTAGAGTGTAAAAAACCCATGCAGAACAATCACTTTTAGCAATAACAAGTGCAGGTGTAACTTGGTAGCCATTTGTTGGGTGGTTATTGGATGTGCTGGTGTCAAAGAGCAAGAAAAACTTTGTTTCTGTTGAATTATGTATCAGGCAAAAGTTCAGATTCAATGGGGGATACTGCAATTAAAATGGGCCCAAGAAGAAATCTTATCTCAATGATGAAACATGTGTCTTTCCTGTAAGAAAAAAGCCATGTGTTATTTTCTGAACTATACTTGCTAAGTGGGATAGTATCAAATTGACATTGGAGACATGCAATGAAACCTTGTTTATTGTGATATAGACCAAACTTAATCAAGTCCCTTCTCCCCACCACTGATTCTCCATCACAAGGGATTGAAGGTATAAAGGACTTGTTCATGTTTGGCCACAGAAGCTGTTCCTCCTACATATCATAAACCATCAAATCAGTAGCAGAATAAGCTAAACCTCATTTGGGTCATCTATTCCATGAGGGGTGCCAAAGCTCTGCTTGTGAGTTTTCCAAAGCTGTAAGTCTGTACTCTTAATGAGGGCACTGGGGCATTCCCTCAGGATGTATAAAATGAAAATCCAGAGGCACCAAAGCCTTACATAGTATGCATTCCTTGCTATTGGGTGTACATATAAGTGGTTGCCTTTACTTTACATACAACATTCATCACAAAAAATCATTGAGCATAGAAACACTGTATGGATCAAACAATGAGAATATATAATCCTGTCCATTTCTTTCTAAAAGCAGAGGTTGGCAAAACCCCTTTGTATCAATTATTTTTGTTAGTGTTTGGCATAATGTAGGTTTTCTGGATAGGATCATTGAGGCATTTTTGAGGTGGTTTTTAGGAATCTGCATGGCTTTACCTGGCCAATCAGGCATATTACATGATAGGGTTTTCCCTCCCCAGATATAACTTGAGATGGCACACCCTCACAGTGTGATTCTGACTGCTCTCACATCACAGAAACCTTGTGAGCCATCAAGCTTTTCTAACACTCTGCTACAAAATTTCAGACTATGTTGTAAACTGGATAACTTCAACAATGATGCGAGTGATGGAGCCTACACCCAGGTATAATAATCAATCCCTCAGTACCCAGCTGATTATTATTGATGCAGAAATGGATAGTTGATTCAGGTATAGACATACCTGTGTTGATATTGGTACACATGATGTCTTTGGATCAGGAAGCCAAAGAATTGTTAAACTCCAGCTGATCAATCAAAATGGGATTGGTTTCCCTTTGGGGCCACCCAAGCAACCTCATGGTTGAGGGGTCTGATTAGTGCAGGTGTGGGGGGTAGGGATAGATATTAGATGCAATTTTATTGAATAGTCATTGTGCCTCAACTCACATACTATAGTTTATTTAAATTTATGAAGGGCACCTCACAAAGAGTCTAAAGTACACCACAGCACCTCTGAATCCTCAGAGTATAAAGTATTGCAGGCTCCAGACTTGTAAGATCAACCAGATCTCAGAGCCAGATCCTTAGAAGGACAGCTCAGCCATCCCACTGGCAGCAAATCCTCTTTTTAGAGGTCAACTTATGGTAGTTTTCACCTGGGTGTACCAATTGAAGACTTTTATTACTATCCTTACTTCATCTTTTTAGTGTAGAGTCAGCCCAATAGTTGCTGACCCCTCACACTCATCATTATGGATAGTTAGGGTGTGTTCACTTAAGGAATTTCTGACCAGAAATCACATTCTGTAAATTTTTGAATGCAAAAATGAAACATGTACCACCAAATAAACACTTTAAATTTTGCAGAATGTGATTTCTCACCAGAAATCACTTAAGTGAACACGCTCTTAAAGTTGCTGGCTGTAAAGCTCCCGTCACTATGAGTGGTTTAAAACCTTTTACAGCCAATGGGATAGTACCTGTAGATACAGTGGGTAAACCCGAGTACGTGTTCCGACCTGCCCTGCAAAATCAAATTTCACCTTTCGGTTCAATGTCGGGGCACTCAATTTGAATGTTTGAGACTGGCACCCAGACCATTGAAAAGGCATTGCTTTGATGAATCTAGGAATATGGTTTTGGAGACCAAAAATATGATTTTACTCTTTTAGAGGTTTGGAGAGTCAGCCCAATAGTTGCTGACCCCTCACACTCATCATTATGGATAGTTAGGGTGTGTTCACTTAAGGAATTTCTGACCAGAAATCACATTCTGTAAATTTTTGAATGCAAAAATGAAACATGTACCACCAAATAAACACTTTAAATTTTGCAGAATGTGATTTCTCACCAGAAATCACTTAAGTGAACACGCTCTTAAAGTTGCTGGCTGTAAAGCTCACGTCACTATGAGTGGTTTAAAACCTTTTACAGCCAATGGGATAGTACCTGTAGATATTTTCAGGGCTTGATGATTTTTTGTATCACTTTGCTTGACCTATGTTTGGTATTGTGTTGTCTTGCGGAGTAGTTGATGCTATGAGTACACCAAAGATATTTATTGTTTTGGGTAAACTGATCCTTGGTATAACATCAAGAAGCCTGTAGTATACCCTTGGCATTGGGACAAAGCCCATGAGAATAAAATTGCAAATTGTTGGCAACATATAGTAGCCACATATATGAGAGTATCAAATTGTAAAACCAACAAGGATCAGAAACATACTGAGATTGTGTAATTGTGAATGTTTATATTGTTTGTCAAATTTTTGTCAAATTTCTACTGAATAAGTTATAATGAGCCCTCTCAAACAAAGTATATCATAAGGCTCAAGCAATCAGATCAAGAATTACATTTTCTCTCAACAAGATATATGTCACTAGGGTAACTTATAGCAGGGTTGACAAAGCAAAATTCTCAAAGTTATTGAAATCTAGATCCTAATTTGTTTTTTCCTCTGCTCTTCTGCATCCCTAGCCTTCCTTCTGATACGACAAACTGCATCACATTTTCTTATTGACTTATATTTTGAATACCTAGTACTGAACAACTCATGTAGTTCATGATTTTTGGGTAAGGCTTTGATCTGTAGGAACAAACTAACAGATGTTGAAAATTTTAAAATGTTTGATTCAACAATCTTTTCTCTCAAATCTTTACATTGATCCTTTAAGAAATATGTGAGTTCATGGCCAAATTGAAAAAGATTTCCATTTGTGATAGAGATTTGATATGATATATAGTCTTTAAAATCTGGAGTCCACTTGTTCCAAAGATCATTGAACTCTGTAGCAACTTGATTGGTCATTTGTTCATTTGCTAAGCCAATGATTTGTTTTTGAATATCTTTGCCTAGAAGATCCTGTCCAAAACCTTGCATGATCTTATCTGATCTTTTAATCCATTCTTCCCATGGATTAGATCTCATGAAGAGCTGAGAGTTGATACCATTGTGAATCCATTTTGATTTGTCTTCTAAAAATTTGGAAACCAATTTCTGAGCCATTGGATAACGTTTCTTCCAAACAAGTTGGCTGAACTTTTTCTGATAGAAAAAATCATCATGAACTATTAGAAAACATACTGCCAATGGATCCAAATTGAATCCATCTTCCATTTTACCACCCTCACTTTGTTCTTGTGTTACCAACCCTTGGAATGATGGATGTAGAATGTAATATAGGTTCTCTGTGTACCATCTTAGAAATTCTGCAAACAAATTGTAATCTATATCATGTCCTGTGAAGATATACTTCTCATGATAAGCATAAAACACCAAAGATGTGATCATGATGCAACGGTCCCAAACCTCTGATGATGGGTTTTGAAATTGAGTAAAGTACAAAAATGGTAGGATCTTCTCTAGTGTCCAAAAATGTCTAGCTTGACTGGTTTGCTCAGGATTGGAGAATATCCCAAATATTTTGATGATTTGAAATATCATTTTCATTGAAGATGCTATTAAATCTCTCTTGGAAGGAGTTAAAAAGTTGACAACTTCTACATAGCTTGGGCCAAGATCTTCCTTCATTTGCATTTTGCTGTTTGCTGAACAAGCTGATGTTGCAGGGTGATATGGAGAAATTTGTTCTGATTCAATGTTCAATCCTAAAACAGTCAACGGGGGTGATTTTTCTTCATTCACTCCATCTTCACTAACAGTAAAAAATTGGGTAGGTTGCTTGTTTGCTTCTACATTAACATCTGTGATAGACTCCAAGACTGATGATGAGGCCTCTGGAGTCTTATCTGTCCATGATTTGCTTGTTGGAACCTCTGGAAATAGGCTGAGTGTATTTCTTGGGATATCCATGCATGAGTAGAGTGTAAAAAAATTCTGCAGAACAATCACTTTGAGCAATAGCAAGTGCAAGTGTGACTTGGATGCCATTATTTTGATGGTTGTTGGCATTCTTTTGATGGTTGTTGGATATGGTGGTGTCAAAGAGACAGAAAAGATTTGGTTTGGTTGGATTATGTATGAGGTGAGAGTTCAGATTCAATGGGAAAGACTGCAAGTAAAATGGGTCCAAGAAGAACACCTATCTCAATATTTATTTTCTATGAGAATCAAGTTTTGTGTCAAGTTCTGAATCAATCCTGCTAGATAGTGAAATATATAGTGGTCACATGCAATGAAATCTTATGTGTGGCAATACAGATAAAACTTACCTAAATCTCTTCTCACTCACAAGGGCTTGTTACCAGGGACTTAGGTAAGTCTGACTACACAGATCATGATCTCTCTGCAAATCCCCATTGTCCCATATCATTTGATGAACAACGTTTGGTATGAGTTTTGATAGAGGATGTGTTATTCCAGAGGACTTCTCAAAGTTGACCAAGTCCCTCACTCTTTGTGAGGCCTTGAGTGAAAGACTTATGTACCACAAACACAACCAGACTCTGGCCTGAAAAGTGAGTTGAATCAACACACAGACCATCAACATATTCACCTTGGATTGAAATACCTGAGGTATTCTTGTATTCCCAACCTCACAGACCATCAACATATTTACCTTGGATTGAAATATCTGAGGTATTCTTGTATTCCCAACCACACAGACCATCAACATATTTACCTTGGATTGAAATATCTGAGGTATTCTTGTATTCCCAGCCTTGGAAAGCTTCTTTCCAAGGTTTTGGTCCAAGGTAATTCTCAGCACAGAAGAATACCTCATATCTGGGACAAGTGCTGTCTGAACACCATCAAATCACAGCGCGCCCCACCTTCCGGTGGCCTGATTGCAGTAAACTCCATTCCTTGGACCAGAAACCCAATGAGATTGGCTCACTGCAAGTTCAACACAGAGGTCTCCTCTTGTTAATAAATTCTATCCTGATGGAGAAAGGCAAAAATGAAGAGTATTGAAATCCTACAAGTGACTCAAACTTCAAGCTCCTCTAGAATCCTTGCACAAGAATTCTTCAGAAGTTGCATAATTGAGCACAAACACAAACCTCACATGTCAAAACAAAACAAACCTATCCTGCTTACAAACAAATCGGGTTGTCAAACCTCTTCATGATAATCCAATCAAACCAAACAAATTTCCCAAAAAAGCACATCTTCAAGGTTCATTTTTTCAGTGTATGATCACCAACATATATACACCACGAGTTCCTCAAAGTTGCTCAATTCAAACCTTACATGATGATCTTCAAGATCAATCAGTCTTTCCTTCCTTCCTTTTTTCCTAATGAATTGTAAAAAAACAAAACCTCATCTTGCAATTTAAATCTATATAAAACAAAACTTATCAATTAATTTCAATCTATAAAATAATTTTACAAGGTATCAATCAAACCAAACCCAACCAAAAAAAACCAATTGAAATCTTTCTCAAGAGATTGATAAGATCTCATGAAAGGTATTATTTTCATTTTGCTTTGCAACTATTAATTTCTCTTTGTCTTTCTCATCAATCAATCCCTTCTTTTTCTTCTTTTTTCTTCTCTTTTTCTTTTTCTTTTTCTTTTTCTTTTTCTTTTTCAATTTCATTCAAAGTTAATCCTTCAAACCTAACTTGATCCCAAACAAATGGTAATTCCACTCTAATCCGATTCCTAACCAATTCAAAAACATCATCTTCATCATCTACTACTACATCATTCCTTCCTAAACTTCCATTCCGATTCTCTAACTTCGCTTTTCTAATCTCACTTTCTTTTCTACAAAACCTTAATAAGATCGAAACCGTTCTTTGATCGGGTAGGATTCCAATCTCTTCTAATTTCATTTCATCAAACACTAATCCAATAGCCAAATGAAAATGTTTAGATCTACACAAACATTCTAACCAAGCTTCGATCAAATTCTTATTAATCTCACACATCGGCCAATCTTTTTTTAATTTCAATCGATTCCAACTTTCAATCGCTATTCGATTTAATGATCCATGATCTTTACCCATGCTAATCCTTTCACTTTCATATCCTGCTAAATCAAACATCGTTGCTAAACTCGAATTCGTCATCTTTTCCTTAAACCTTGCTTGATTTGAGATTTGATTCCAAATCATCCATGCATTTGAATACATTCCATTAAATGAAAATCCTTTTAAAAAAGAATGTAATAATCTAATCTCAGGTTCTACATATGCATCTAATTTAAATAAAGTATAAAGTCTTTCAACTTGAAGTCTTGTAGATATATTCCTTGGATTCGATTTAACAATCTTGGTGAAATGTTCCAAGAACCGAACATAGGTTTCTGTATCAGCTGGAACTCCAACTGAACGCATTTGTTCAAAGATTTGACTTAGAGCATGGATCGATAAAGCTTGTGGTTTTTCATAACTGACGGTTTCCTTCATCGAATTAGATTCACAACGATCAAGATAATTCAATATAAACCGATCAAAGAATGATCTAGTTGGATTTCCTAATCTGATCAGTTGTTCATACGCCCAATAAACTTCAGCTCGATTAGGTCCAAGTTGAATAAACCTTTCGATGAGTTCTTCTAAGATTTCAGATCTCAAGATCACCTTTTCTTTAATCAATTCATCTAATATTCTCTTAACTAAATCCCAATCACAAAGGTCTAATGAAAGACGAAGAAAAGCAGTACCGAGGTCTTGAGATTCTTCAGGCTTGACCTTTTCACAAGTTAAAAAATCATCCCATAATCGACGTAATAGATCAACTGAAGAATTCATAGAAGATCGAAACTTGAGAATCGAGATGATATATTTAGGTAAGATTAAATTGTTTCGATGGGTTATGAATTCATACCAACTCATGGCTTTTTCAAATTCGAGACTAATTCGCATTCGATCAAATAAACAACTTGCTAACTTTGACTGATTAAGAATATCAATCCCAGTGATGTTGAGTAATTGATCGACCAAATCCTGAACTGAATTCAAATCGGAGGGAGGCTTAATTGAAGAAATCAGACTTTCGAGTATATTGATAGATCCGATCGAATCTTTAGACCTCTGAGGATCAAACAAATAAGAAAGTGATTCAAAGAGGATATCTTGATTGTCTAACTTAGCCAAGTGTGAGACAAGTGAAACTTTGATCCATTCCTCTAATTCCACGCCTTCCTCGAGTTTAGATTTGATCAGATTCAAAGATTGAGGGTTATCTAATTGAGCGCCATGAAAGAGTAATCCCTCTTGAAGGCCTTCACGTCTCATTTCTTCAATCAAACCAATACGCTCTTCTACCAGACCTTCAGCAGAAGCCAATCGAATCAAATGTGCATAATCTGTTGAATTCTTTGGAGTCTTCTTCATTTCGATCACCTTCATTCCATCCTGAAAAGATACACAACCAGCCAGTAATTGATTCCTAGCCTCTTCAGTCACTTTATCAGATTGTTTAAGCCATTCAAGTGCTTCGATCACTTTACCCGTCTTACCAGAAGCCATTAGATAATAACGGATATCGATCGGATTAGGATTACAACCCCAAATTGGAATCAAATCGCGAAAGATCTTTAAAACTGTCTGATGATCATCTTCTGAATAACTTTGAATGATTAAGTTAGTTAATGATGAATGATCTAATTCAGGTGCAAGCCAAGGATGTGATGATTGATGAAGAACAAGTCTTGGATAATCTTGGGTTGAAGTGATGGTAGGTTTTTGAAACCATTCTAGGAATCGTTTGGATGTGTTTATAGATGTGAATGATCGATGATTTGATTGAGAAGAAATTAAACGTTGGATAGATCTTCTAGAATATGTTAACATTCTTTTGTGATTCTCATAAGATTCGAATGTCGATCGCAATTTTCAAACCAAGTTTCAAGCTGAATCGACGAGTAAATAAAAACAGGTTGAATTCTTGTTACTTTCTTCTTCTCTTTCTTTTTGAATTGAATTGATGATGATGATTGTGTAGATTATAGAAATGAAAGTTTAAATGAAGAATACCAATCTTCATCAGATTTTAAATTTCTATCACACTTTGCAAATCAAACAATGGAAAGTTTGATGAGATGATTGATGCATAAGAGGATTAAAGAAATCAAGAATTGAGTGACTTACTGAGTGAATTGAATTGGTTTGAATTAGTTATTGACAAAATGCTGAGCTGGTGTTGGGATTGGATTTGGTTTGTTGACCATTTTGAGTTTTCAGGTCGATCAAGTATAATGCTTATATAAAATGCTTATAGAAAGTTTAGTTGATTTATGCTTATATCTGATTTTACTTATTTGCCACGACGAACCCAAAATCGAATTTACCACTTTAACCAACCAAACCATCACACCACACCACACCACACCAAGTACCATTCTACATCACTTTAACATCAAATCAAATCAATCAACCTTCAACAATGGAACAAGTAAGAGAACTCAGTGAACTGCCTCAAAAGTTCGTAAAAGAAGGTACTCAAGTAAGTCCATATCTGAACACCGAAAACCGAAAATCGAATTGATAGATGACGACACCTTGATTCTAAACAGTTTATGAACCGATGTACAAAACCTGATCAAAAAGGTAATCAAACTTTTCATACGTTTAATCAGACGAAATCTTTTTCAAGAATCTAATTCGAACCTTTAATCATTAATCAATCAATCATAGAATACGTTCAAATCTGTAAAGCTGTAGCTATTGGATTTGCCATCATGGGTTTTATTGGATACTTTGTTAAATTGGTAATCTTCTAAACATCATCTACTTAAACCAAATCCTGAATTGATGAGTTTTCTTTTCGATTTCGATTCTCTAGATTCATATTCCTATCAATGGTATCTTAGTGTACGTCTTTCATCAAATCTTACAACTTATGATTCGACCCTAACTGATTCTTCTATTCTGACTTTGTGCATCTCAACAATCTTGATCAGTGGTAGTGCATAATCAATCTAAACTCGTTCTCAACTCATCTTCAAAATCGAATAGAAAGAATGTAAAATCTCATAATTCATCTCTAAATGAAACCCAAAGAAACTCAATATCAATCACCTTCGCCATCAAATCAAATCAAATCTGATCATCAACTTCATCAACACAAAGACTTTTGGTCTCTAGGGACTTCTCTTTTGGATTTTGCGTTGTGCTTTTCTTTTCTTGTTCTCTTCATCAACTTTTTTTTTCTTACTTGATCTTTGTCAATGAAATGCAAAAAAAAATAAAACTGAATCGTAATTTAATCTATAGCATTTCGAGATGAAATTTGAAAGTTTCATTTAGGTTCACAACATAGATAAACAAAACCAAACCAATCTTCTTTTTTACATCTTGTTTGTTGGAAAAGTGTTTTGAAATCAATTGAACTTGAACAAGCCTTTCTCAAACATATTGCCTGCAGAGTTTGCCTTGCACAATTTGTAGTCAAGCGTGTCAAATTTCAATGAGATGAAAGCATTCAGTCTTCACAGACAGACTGAGCAACTAATCTTTTAAAATGTGCATTCATTGTTCGCAAAGCAATAGTATCTTGAGTCAATTTCAATCATATCAGAACCAACATCCTTGATCCAACTTGTGCTCTCACTGACCCGGATCACAACGTATAAAAAACGGCGATCTTTCCACTCATCAATCTCACAATGAAAGAAACACCAAACCTAATTTGATTTTATTTATTTTTCGAAACCATTAAATCATACAACCATCCATCTCTTTTCTGATATTTTCAAAACTTTTTAAGTAAAAATCATTCAATCCATTCAACTTTACAAATCAAATCAAACCCAACCAAAATACAAATCCACATCAATGATCTTCTTTCACCACTTTTCTCAAAAGAAAAAAAACCTTTTATTCTTCTGTATTCATCGTATCTAATGCTACTTCATTAACCGCTTCAACTTCTTGCATCTGTTAAATCATTCAATAAAAAAAGAAGTCAATTCAAACTCATGAACTGAGAAGTGATTCAAATCGAGAAATTTACGTACGGTTAATTCAGCTTGTAGATCTTCAATGCTAACTTTCAATCGATCACGTTCTTCCATAAGTTCCTATAAACAAAAACAAGAAATCCTCAATTTGGTTTACACATATAACACAATTCGAGATGATATATATATATATTGTTTTACAAACCTTATAAGTAGATTGACCTTCTCTACCAGATCTCATCAATTTCTCAACTTCTTCTTTTAAACTTTCTAATCTACGTTGAGAAGCTCCAACCTCATTAAGTTCTAATCTTTCAAAACTTAATAATTCGATTTGAGATCGATCTAATCGATTAAAAGTTTCTTGAAAGCTTTGATTGAGAGATTTGAATCGAGCTTCATAACCTCCAATCAATTTACCTAATTTCTTTTCTAATTTATTAGCTTGATTAGCTTCTTTAATCAATTGATGTCTCGATTCATCTATCAATGATTTCATTCCTTTCATCTTTTCTTCATCTGACAAGTCTGATTCTTTAACCCATTTCAATCGGTTTTCATCAAACGAATATCCTTCTGATTGTTCTATCCACCTTTTTCGAAACTCTTCTTCATCTCCTAAGACTGCTACTCTTTTGATTTGATCTTCTGTTGCTCCTGGAAATCCACATACATCTGCAAGTTCTTGGTGTACTAATGCCTTAGCTGTAGCAAGATGTTCATCTTCAATAGGATCTAAAGTTGATCTACCTCCACCAGCAATCTTGCCTCCCGGTACTGGATATACTATAGCATCATGTAAAATCAATTTCACCATCTCTTGTGTGATTTGTCTATCAAGATGATCTTCAAGTTTGTTTCCAGTCTTAAAATTTTTGGTTAATTGACTTGACTCAAATTCAATCGGTCTAGGTAAACCACGTTGAATAACTTGTGTACGTCTCACTAATGCTTTCTGTTCTTCTTCTTGTCTGATGGCTTTCATCTTAGCTGCTCGATCTGCCGCATCTTCGATCATCGATCCAGCTTCATCTGCAATCTCGGCTATCCTTTCAAGTTCTTCTTCAGGTAACACAAGTTCGTAATCATTCTTCGGTTTAGGTAATGCCATGAAACCTCGCTTGAGTTGTTGTTTAAGATCGATAGGTCGGTTTCTTGAATCACGTGGTGTATCTCCCATCATCGATCCATCATCTCCAGCATTGATGTTAAGATTATTTCGACGTAAAGGTGTTCGCATGGGTGTACCACCCGGTCCGATCCCATCCCCACCAGGCGTCGCACTAGGATCACGACTATCTGAGTGTAAAGGAGTCGCTAATGGATTCGGAGTAGCAGAAACCGTTCGAGCAGGTGTAGCACCATCAAATCCAGTCCCTCTACTTGATAATTCGTGTAAAGGCGTATTTGCTTCTCCTAATAATGGAGTTTGAGCCATGGTCATGTTTCTTAAGTTTCTTGCTTCTGCCATAATATTATCAGCTTGAGCTGGTGTACGTGGTGTACGAGCTGTTTGAGCATGCTGAAGTGTAGAATATTCTCCTAATAAACCTTGACTAGCTCCTTCACCACCTTCTTCTACTAGATTCTTAGCTGTCTCTCCTGCTTGACCAATCTTTACAATATCTTCTAATTCTAGTTCTCCTACTTGAGGTTCAGGTAACATTAATTTCCTTCTTTTTAAAATATTAGCTTCTTCTTTCTGACGTTGAATCAAATTATCTTTAGCTGGAATGAAATGTGATGAAGCATCTTGATCGGCTGCTGTTTCTTTCGCCTTACGTGATCGTTTTCTTCTTTCTTCTTCATCTTCTGCTCTTGTTCTTTTATGTGAATCTAATTGTCTCAAGTTCTTACCGACTGGTGCTGCTACAAATTTGTTTTTTTCTTGTGTGGTATCGTAAAAACCTGGTGCTGGTTGTTTTTCAAATGGAATATCTGCATTATAGTCCATTCCATCTTTCTTGGGTCGCATTCGCATCCTTCAAACACACAAAAAGAGTTACAGACATGAGTACATCGATCATCTCGATCAAGACACATACCAGCGTCGACTCACATAATTCCGGCTGCTTTTAATTCCCTCTTCTTCTGTAACATAGCCAATCGTCGCGCTTCTTCTAATTGACGTTCTCGTGCCTTACGCTTAGCTTTCTTTCCTTGAGTATTAGCCAATCTAGCTCGAGCCTCTGATAACATTTCCTTCTCTATTGATCAATCCAATAAAAAGACAAATGTTTGTGAATTCCTGAATCGATCGATCAAACAAGACGTTTTGAAACTTACCATCTTCATCCATATCGATCGGATCAGGTCTAGCAGGTTTAGCTTCCGGATCAGGATCTACTTCACCAGGTCTAAGTCTTCTAACATCATCAGCACTCGGACCAGCTTCAGCTCCTGTACCCGTCAAACCAAGTTCATCACCACCTTCAACTGTATCACGTTGTTCAGCTTCATCTAATAATCTTTGATACCTTTCTAAACATTGATTGGCCGTTCTACCTACAATTGGTGCAATCGTACGCCATTGAGTTGGCATTAATTTAGCTAAATGTAATAGTTTTTCATCTTCTTCTTTAGACCATTCAGCTATCAATCAAAAATTTAGAAAAGGAGTGATTAATTTTGATTATTTGTTTGTTTTGCATAAAAATTTTTGGGAATCATTCAAGTTTTTGAAATCAATCGATCACTTACTTTTCTTAATTGATGGATCTAGCCATTCATACCAACGAGCTTTACATTGTTTTGGAGTTTTTCTAACTAATAAAGAAGAGATTCTAGCCCATTGATTTTTTCCATATCTAATTCATGAAAAAATTAAGAAAAAAATCACGATCCAAGGATCATGAGGAGGAAAGGAGGGGGGGGAAATGAAGTTAATCAGTTATGAATGAAACGAAAAGATAAAGAAAACAAAAAGGATGATCACTTTGAGATAGCTGCTTTTAAGATTTCATCTTCTGTGTTACGCCAAACACCACCTTTGATGATGATTCTCATGTTTTTTTGATGCTCGGATTGGGATTAAAATTATCGATTGGTTTTGAGGTGTTTGATTTTGATTTGATAGAATGGTTATTTAATAAGTTGAGTTGGATTCGATTTGAGATCAGGCTCAGTCATGAGACAGTGATACAACACGGGTACAAACCCGAGAAGAAGGCTGAACAGGGTCGGGCCATGTAATCAGACAGTCTGTACACCACGAAGACGCTTTTGAGCGGAAGGACGTCGGGATTGTCCGAGATCATATGCTTCAGTCGGCACCACCGTTTGGGCTGTCCCCTGGATGTCAGTGCGTGCGGACGTCCGCAGCACACACTCAGGATGTCAGGCTGGGCCTACATTTAAATAAGAACACCCTTGGAAGCCCGTGGGATGTCCTGAATTTTGATTCTGACCCGGGCTCCTTGGATCAGTTTCGTCAGGATATCCCTTCCCCTGCAAAAAATCCTGACGTCCCTAGGACATCAGCATGTCCTTGTTGTAGCTCATGCTCAGCCAAAAATTCACATCCTCCCTTTGCACTATGTATTAACTTTTTCAAGGATGCCAACAATTTTAAAGAGTTTTGGAGATTGTTGACCTTATCAGTTTCTATAACTGAATTCCATATCTATAATCCCGGAAAACGACAACTGGCAATTCTCCATTTCAATTCATCACAACATTTCTGATGCTTTGGCTCTCTTTGGCTGCCACTGTGGTAGAACTAAAGCATTGGGCGGGCCAACCCGCCTTGAGGTTAAATAAGGCTATACCGTACATCAAATTCAGCGTTATAATTCTTGAAGCGTAGCGTAGCTGAACCCTTTTCACAATCATTGAGTTCTGCAACTTAACCTATGAATAATCTGGATTAAAAGATGTTCAATTCAAAAGGATTGTAAGGATTTGTTCTATCTCTATCTAGTATCATGATATGAAACGCAAACACCAGGTCCACATTTTCTCTTCATCAAGAATAATTTCTTACAAAATGGATTGTTTCCTTCATTTCCTTCATCTTTGAGCTAGACATCAAGAAACAAAGGCGCAGTTACAGCCGTTGTGAGAATCATCGGTAAGTTTCGAGGACTTGTGTGTTTCACAGATTTAACTAGGGTTTAATCTGCGGTCCAAAAGTCATTTTTTTTTTGATCTCACAGGACTAAACTTTGTTTTGGTTCCTTCAAACTCAAGTCTTCGAGGTCTTCGTAACTGTCATCTTCTGTCATTGAAAGGTTCCAAGGATCCAATGAAGCTTCGAAAGCTGTTGGCCCGGCTTCTCCTTCCAGTTCCACTTCATTTTCAACATACCAACCTCCACCAGCCTCCGGTCGCCAATTCGACACCTCAATTTGACATCAAGGCCATTTCGATTCCTTCACGCCATTCGAAGAAATTACGTATACGTAAGTTCATGATTCTTTGCCAAGCATTTTAATCACACTGATCAATGGAACTTCTACTCACATAGGCATGTTCTTCTTTGCCAAACTGAACACTCACACTCATCAATCGCTTATATCCACATCGGCATGGAAACGGAACCTGATTCGAATCTAATTTCTTGATCATTCAAAGAGGGTACATGGTTGTTTCAATTCGAAGTTTTCAATCAGGAGTTTGAATGTGTGTTTTTGTCTTTGAGTATTAAAAGGAGATACTGACCTTCTTCATCAACTCAATTTTTGAACAAAGTTTCATTTCCAAGATTTCGAAGACAACTTTAAATGAGGGTTGTTTCCATTTGGTATGAATGGAAACAATGACGAATGTGTTTTTGGTTTGTAACAAACAGCAAAACAAGGATGATTTGAACGAGAATCAATCAAGGCAAGCCTTCATTTCGTTATCTGATGAAGAACTTTCTAGATTCTAACCTTGTTTTAATTTTTCTTTGGCTCCCCATGACGATTATTGACCAACGATAAACAAAGATCCCCGTTTTCTCATATGATATCTTATGATATCATTTGAGAAAACGGGGATCATTGATCAAGCCCACAGGTTTAAATACTCGTGCATTTGGCCGATTTCTTTGTTCTTCCCCATCGAACTCATCCAGTAAGAACTAAATTTTATCTTTTTTTTCCTTTGTTTCAGTTTGTCATTTTTTTGCTTTGCTTCAGTCTTTTTCTGACCAAAGGGTCCTTTCTGATTTCTCAGGTTTTGAATCTGTGTCATCAAAGTTAGCTTTAGCATTCCTTTTCCACTCTTACACCACCTTTACACCAACCCCACCACCTTTACACCAACCCTGTCTTGTTATCAGTGCGTTACTTTACCTCCCTTTTTCATCTTCTAATCGCGACTATCATCTTCTTTTTTCTCTTTTTTCTAATCACTGCTTTGTTTATGATCAGCTCGGCAACATATCATATCAACAATCTACGATGTCTAACCAGCAATCACAAATCCCAGATGCCTCAGTAGTGCCTGTTGTAGCAGAAGGCCACATGAATTCACGTAAGTCAGTCTCTCTGACTGACATGTCTTCAATTTACTAAAGTGAAATCGTTTTTGTGTCAGTTTTTGAAATCCCTTCTAATCATACTGGTGGTGAAGACGCTCCAGCCACCTGCGCTCAACAAAACCCACTTTACCGCATTGGGACCGCCCCTCGTATCCAGTTCGATAAACGAAACGAAATGTTCGTTCAGGTTAAGTTTAAAATACATGCTGAAAAGGAAGTCGAAGTCCAGGCCGCTGCAATGAAGGTAGCTAGCCGATCTCGCCGCTCTGCAGCCTCTGCGGCGCGCTTCAACGTGATCGAATCAAAAATGTTTAATCAAGGCAATGTGCTCGAGCTGGTGAAGTGCCTGTTTGGGAAATCTCTCAAAGATTTCAAAGGTATGTGTGCAGATATTTGTGATGAATATCAACCTGGCATGCGCCATATGGTACTCTCGAGCGATCTTGCTCCACACTTGATTTGGGTTGGTCAGGTTGGACGTGAAAAAATCACGCTGGTCGATTATTCAGCCTGGCAGGGATTTGTTGAATTGCTTGCAAGAGCAACCAAGCACAAGGGTTCTGTCATGATTTTCACTGAAGATCCCAAGGAAAAAGCCAAAAAGGACGCTCAGGTGTGTAACTCATGTTTTATTTCTTAATCTATGCTTTCTTTTTTCTCATGTTTCTGTTTTACTTCTCTCTGTTTCAATGATTCTTAGACCTCTGCGGCGAGAGAACTAATCGCTTCAGCCAGCGGCCCCACTGCTGCAGAAGCGCAGGTGGGTGTTCTTACTCAAGAGCTCGAGGTGTGTGACTGTCATTCCCGCTTTGGGTCCTTTCCCTTTCGACATGTCCTCTGACGTGTCTTCTGTCCCAGGATGCCCGTAAACAAATTCGGCTCCACGAGTTGGCGGCCCAACTCTTCCATGACCATACTCAAAAAGCTAACGCCGGAGATGGCGCTATCCTTGTCTGCCCTTGGGATCCGAATTTCTTGTACCGATTGACTTACAGCGGGGCGTGGGTCTGGGCGAAAGGTGTTGTAAGTATTTAGTTTGGTTAAGTTCCATATTGGCCATCAACTCACTATCCTATCCAACCCAATCCAGCAATCCGGAATGGCGACGCGCGAGATCCCTCCCCGAACCTACGAATTTCTGGCCATCATGAAGAAGGCCCGTGTCTTCCATAAGGCCACGAAAGTGGACGATCGAGTCAAGATGCGCGGCGCTCAAATGCGTCTTGACTTATCTCCTACCTTTCACAGATCGGGCGGATCTCACCGATCATGTTTTGAGCCTCCAGCGCAACTTTTATTTCAAAAACCTACCAATTCAAAAAGGTCTGCCAATCTTGCGGGTTTATCAATGGCCTCTCAAGATGACATGAAAAAAATCAAGATTGAACCTAGTAAGTTTTATTTCTCTTATGTATTGATTGTCTCTTACGTTTTTCGTGGAAATGACTGATTAATAATGTCTCCTCCAATCCATAGGCTCCCCCTCCAAGGGCGTCACGATTGTGATATCGTCGGATCCCCCTACACCTAGCCACATCGACTGTTCTCAAGAGACTGAGAAGACCATAAAGAAGGAACATGGTATGTACCACTTCTTTATTTCCGTCAAAAAAACCCTCAGCTGACCAAGTTTCAAATCATTTGACCTCTACCATCCTATCACCCGTAGATTATGAGATCTTTCGATCAAACACTCCTGGCGACTTTGAGGACAAGGATCGAGCCCACGCTGACGCCTTAGAGCGTTTTTTAGTCCATTGCAATGTGCCACTGAACGACGAGACCACCAGAATGATTCTCGACCGAGCCAACGTCAAATCATGGACCGATTTGATCCCTAGCCACCAGTTCACTGAATCCTCACTTACCACGCGCGGCATGCACCCTGCTCTGGCTTCCCATCTTGTCAGCGAAGCCATGGATCGCGTCAATGATCTCAAACAAGAAAACGACAAGCTTCAAGATGTGGATTCTGTGGAATCGAATGAGTCTAGCCCTCCCCCTCCATCCCCCGAATTCTGAAAGGTCTATACAGGATTATTAATCAATTTATAATCAAAGGTTCTTAACTTGCGTCTTTAAAATCAATTTCTTGTCTTTTCGCGGCTGCCTTATATCGATCTCGCAGAGATTGAAATAAGGGATTCCTCTTTGGTTGTGCTTTGTATTTTATGAGCTTGCAACCCAATTAGGCGGTTTGATTTCTTCTTTATGTGTTTGATGTTTTTCGTCCTGCTTCCTATTTGTAGGATCTTGCCAAAAAACAAAGTGTTTGTGTCTTTTGTGTGCGTTTGAGTCTTTTGTGTGCGTTTCAGTATATTGTGTGCGTTTGAGTCTTGTGTGCATTTGTGTCTTTTGTGTGCGTTTGAGTCTTTTGTGTGCGTTTCAGTATATTGTGTGCGTTTGAGTCTTGTGTGCATTTGAGTCTTTTCTGTGTGTTTGAGTCTTTTGTGTGCGTCTATTGTGTGCGTCTATTGTGTGCTCCTCCCTATGGTGGGGTTTTGATTCACTTTTGTGCTGCATGCACCCTTATTGTAGGAACTTGCCAAGCAATCAAAAGAAATCTTTTTACTCGCCAACCCTCATGAGCCTCTGGAGTTTAATTTAGAAACCATCTCACAAATGGTTTCTTAGCCTTAGACTAAGAGATTAAAAAGGTCTTACCTTACACTGATATCATCTCACGATAAAATAAGGTCAGTGTGGAGAATAAAGACCTCATCTTTTAGAATAAAGATGAGGTCTTTGCACGAATTTCTTACTCTATATTTGCGAGATTTTTTCATTCAAGTAAGAAAAAAAAAGGTCTTCCTCTATATCATGATATCTTATCGTGATCAGACCGAGCAGAATCAAACTTGCATAATTTTGAATATTTGCATTGATCACACCAATAAGTCACATCAAAATATGAAAGGGACATCAAAACAACACAATAAGTTCAAGCGCACAACAAAGGACTTTAACAAATTGACTCATTAGATCAACATGGTGGAACAAACCAGACATTTCTTTAATGTTTCAAATCTTTAGATATAAAGAGTCAAAGCTAAACTAAACGAGTCTCAAAAAAATTTAGAAACATACTTGTATATTTTGGATATCTGTAGATACTATGATCCTTTCATGAAAAGTATTTACTACTTTTCATTGAATTCATAAACGTGTATTATTATAAAAGCTACCATTTCCTTCTTTCACCATCAACCTGATACCATGTTTAAGATCATAAGAATCAAAATCAGAGTATGAAAAAAAAATATGGTGAGGTTACACATAACCGCTCCCTCTGAAAAAACCTTCACATATATCTTCCGTGAATAATTCCATACAGGCAATGAAGAGTGCCTCTCTCTCGTCTTCAGCAGCTAAAGCCCGCTGCAAGACCTGAGAGCGTCTAAGTCTTGACTTTAGGACGGAGAAGCCCTTTTCGATAGGGTTGAAATCGGGGGAGTAGGCAGGTAGATAAACAAGCCTCACACCTTGTGCGGCACAGAGTTCTTCCACTCTGCCGCCATGGTGGATCGGCGCGTTGTCCATGACCAGAACACTGTTCCGAGCTGGGAACGGGTTC